CAGGAGGCCCTCTCTCACCAGTGCCGCCATGCGGGGCCAGAGACTTGCAGACATTGATGAGGTAGTGCTCCGGGTCTCCCGTTGCAGTGATGGCTTCCCAGTTCTCACTGTACCTTGACAGGGACGAGAGGTCGAAGGAGTTGCCAGTTCCATCTCTGAAAAGAAGACAACCCTGCAGTTAGTGAGGCTTGGTCGTATTCTAGTTAAACACCGGGCACTCTGTCTAGAAAGGTTCAAGTATTCAGGCATAGTCTAAGCCTGACAGAACTTTAGACTCAACTTCTCTCTCTCTCTCTCTCACACACACACACACACACACACCCCATCAGAATCAGCAACAACATAACTTTCCTGAACATAATAGTTCAGGAAACTATTAGGCTCACTTAAAAAAAAATTTTTAATTTTAACAGAAAAACCCAAGTCTGCAAAGTGCGTGTCGTCTGTGCTCAGGCCACTGAGAAGTGGAACTCGCTGGCGACAAAGGCGAGCAGCCAAGATGCTCGGAGCACACACAGCGGGGGTCATGCCCGGGGCGGCCGCAGGCCACTTGTTGTTTAAAACCAAGGCCGCTGGCAGTTCCTAAAATTAAAATGGGCTTGCTGACCTGTCTGCACACGCTAAAGGTTCACTAACTACACAAATCCCAAATACAGACATTAACTGGGAACCAAGCCCATGCCAGGCGCAGTACTGACAGTGAGCGAGACACACACTCTGCCAACACGGAGCAGGGACGGGAGCAGCTACAGGTGCCACCTCAGCGGCAGCTCTCAGTGCTTCAGACGGGAATGAAAACTGGCCATTCATTCAAAAGCTGTGCGCTAAACTGGGGGTACTGTGTTGAATAAAACAGATAAACATCATCAATCTTACAAAATTTACAAAAATTACCTGTGGAAGAAAATGACCGTGAACAAGGTAGACTTTTAAAAATACATAGTGTATTTGATGGAATTAGGACCTGAAGAAAAAAAGGCAGAGGAGGGGGATATGAAGTTTGTGGGGCAGAGGAAAGCAGCTGTTGAAATTTTAGAGAAGGCGTGACCGAGCAGAGGACCTGTGAATAGACTCCGAGAGAAATGGAATCACTGACCATCCCGGCACCCAGTAAAGAGCATCCCGGGCAGACAGCAGCACGAGCAAAGGGCCCGAGGCACATAAGCCTGGCGCGACCTGAGAAAGGCAGAAGCCCCAAGTGGCTGGAACAGAGGGAAAGCGAGGTTAGAGGTAACACGGAGGTCATGTCCGTCAGAGGAAGAACTTCAGCCTGTGGGTCCCAGTGAGATAGGCGCTCACTGCGTTGAAGGTTCCAGCAAGAGCGACATGGTGGGACTTCTATCTCAAGAGGATCACTCTGATTACTGTGTGGGACTAACCAAATGTGTGACAAGGCACGTGGCAGGGAGACCTCGGAGTGGCAGCTGCAGTACTGCAGGCACAAGAGAAGGAGAGCCCAAACCAGGGGCAGGTGGCAGGAAGGGAAAGCTGTCTGAAGGTGACGGGGCAAGAACAGAGCTTAGTGAATATCACCAAATGCTCTAAAAGTAGTCAGTAGAAGAAATAAAAATAGAACTAACAAAGTCAAGGCAGAGGAAAGAGAAGAGGAGAACAGTACAGGTGAGGACAGCTTTCACCTTTTAAAAGAGAGTCAACAGACACCATTAGAAGCTGACAAACAGAGGTTTAGAGTTATAGAAGGTTTCAAAAAGAACCACAAGAAGAAATGGTAAAAAGCGTAGTGAAGATAGGGGTAGGGGAGGGAGAGGTGGGGGAGAGCAATTTCATCTATTAATATTTTTGGACTCTCAATTACAATAGACATGTATTATTTTTTAGTATAAGAGATTATAAAATTCTCCTCTGACTTAATTCTACTTTTAAAAACTTAGCATAAAAACATCTTTAGGAAGTCTGGGCGTAGTGGCTCACACGTATAATTCCAGCACTTTGGGAGGCCAAGGCAGGCAGAGGATCACCTGAGGTCAGAAGTTCAAGACCAGCCTGGCCAACATGGTGAAACCCCATCTCTACTAAAAATACAAAAAAATTAGCCGGGTGTGGTGGCGGGCACCTGTAATCCCAGCTACTTGGGAGATTGAGGCAGGAGAATCATTTGAACCTGGGAGGTAGAGATTGCAGTGAGCCAAGATCGCGCCACTGCACTCCAGCCTGGGCAACAGTGTGAGACTCTGTCTCAAAAAAAAAAAAAAAAAAACATAAAAATTAGCCAGGCATGGTGGTGTCCGTAATCCCAGCTACCAGGGATGCTAAAACAGGAGAACTGCTTGAACCAGGTAGGTGGAGGGTGCAGTGAGCCAAGATCACGCCACTGCACTCCAGCCTGGGTGGCAGAGCAAGACTCCATCTCAAAAAAAATACATACATATATACATACACACACACAAATATATATACACACATACATATCTTTAGGAAAGATATATATGTATCTTTAGGAAAAAAGCTTTATGTGCAAAGAAAATCAAAGTTTTATTCCTTGAATATAAATACCAGAAAACTGAAGGCAGCCTCAAATGGCAGAAAGAGAACTGCTAAGTGAACCGGGGATATCTACTGAGAACATACCCCATCCAGTAGAAATGAGAAACAAATTAGTTTCACACGAAAATATTTACAAAATGTTAACTGGAAAAGGTAAGGTTACTAAAATTATGATTTAAAGTCATTGAACATAAATTACTAAATGCCTGCATTTACATACATTCCTAAAACCTAAATGATTATTTCACCTACATAAATAACAGATGACACAACAGGACAAAGGCTGGAAGGAAACAGAATCACCTGCACTTTCCCCCAGGAAAGTCAACTGTGACCAAGGGGCTCGTACTGGGTGTTTTACAGAGAGGAACTGCCAGGGCATGCCTCCAAAAAACAGAACCGGAGACCCACAGAACCAAAATCTCTAAGGATGGGACCCCAGGTGTCCAGAGGGCGATCTGGCAAAGCTGTGAGAGCAGCTCTGTGGACGATCACATGCAACGAAGACCTCCCTTCATCGCAGGGGTCACCACACCACTCCTGGCCCACTTTGCTCACTGACATGTGGATCACACAAGAGTGCCGGTATCCACTCTTTGCTTTGGCTCCAATCCCTTCCCCATGCAGTCACCACAGCAGCTCAAAGTGGTGACGGAGCTGAGAGTTAAACCTAGCCCGACTCCTCGTTTTAATATGAGCAAACCGAGTCCTAGGTAAATCAACTGACTAATCTAATCCCCTGTACCCAAGATCACTAATTATTAAAGCAAAATCATACCAAGTTAGTCTGTCCAAAAGAGACAACGTATCCATTGACTTACTTGAATGAACATTCAGTCACATCGAAAGGTGGGCAGGCATACTGCGTTCGCCACTCAAACAAGTAGGAACAATCTGAAGTCTCCTTTAGAAACACTGGCTAAAAAAGTTAAGAGGCACATATATAAAAGTGAGAATGCAAAACTTTAGTTTATGCTTTGAGTTTTAAGAATGAAAATAGTAAAGAATGGTTATGTTCATGAAAATCTACACTAACTGATGAAAGTTTCAACATATTTTCTGTAAATGGTATTTTAAACTCAGCTAACCAGAAGACGTGATTAGATCTGAGGACAGATTCTTTCTAATATGATCCCAGCAGCCTGAGGGTGGGGAGAAGACCCCGCTGAGGGCCGTCGGTACAAGCTCACCTGCTGGGTGCTGCGGTCACAGTAGAAGAAGATGGCTGTGGAGCGCTGATAAACCTTATGGCAAGTGTCCCCCCCAGTGAAGTTCATTTTTAACAAGCCATTTTCATAAGTTAGCTTCTGAGTCAGGAGACCTGTAAAGAAGGAGGATGTTAAACAAGGTTTGGTTCAGGTCCCTAGGCTGTCACACTTAGCCTAAGACATGTGACACCACACTCTGAAGAGTGTGGGACAAAGTATCCCTGGCCTCCCAGCACCTTACCGTGCACTCCTATCACATTATACTTTGGGAACAAAATCAGGCTTCCCCTTGTCCAAGGCTGCTGCAACGTCACAGACTGAACCGTGTATGATGACATGGGGCATTCCTTAGCCTCATCAACTAAGGGAATGCCACTTTCTCCACTGTGCCTGAGGGCTGTCCACGTACTCACCACCAGCTACTTTGACTTCATTTTTACAATTTCCTACATGTATTTAAATCTTGCCCAACTGCTGAAACAGCATGAAGGACCAACAGCCCGCCCTGTAATTTTTACAGCCAAACCTCGTACTCAATGCATTCCCTCTGACGCAATGCTATCAAGTACTACCTCAGAACATCCATCACTGGCTAGCTCACTATGTCCCGATGTTGTCAGAAAGAAGAGAAATATGACCTTAGAATCAGTAACTGGCATGGCTAAGAATAAAACAGACATATTCTACCAACATCCTTCAGTATGCACTCTGATTAAGAAAATCAAGCAAAATCTGAAATATCATTAATATGCTTTTTTTTTTTTTTTTTTACAGTAGAACACTCATGTTTCTGACTCAAGGGAAAATTCACCTTTAGCAAAATACTTCAATTACATTCCTTTGCAACAAAAGGAAAAGGACAAACAATGGTACCTGCCACTTTGTGAAATCCCTGCGGTTCCCGCTTTTCCTGACACGAGGAGACCACCCTGGACTTGTCACTTGTGGGGCAGACGTCTGAGGAAAGCTTCCCACAGACCCGGAAGTAATAGGTGTATTCGCCGGCACTCACGATGGTGTCATTGAGGCCCAGGGGCTTCAGGTCATACAAGTTGCCATGCCTTGGGTCTTTCACCTCACAGTTGTCTCCTTCAAGAACATGGAAGAAGTGAAGGGCCACTGCAACCACACACGCATTCATATTTTCAAGCAAAAAGCTTTACAAACCACCAGGCACACTGGCTCACGCCTGTAATCCCAGCACTTTGGGAGGCTGAGACGGGTGGATCACGAGGTCAAGAGATCTAGACCATCCTGGCCAACAGGGTGAAACCCCGTCTCTACTAAAAATATAAAAATTAGCTGGGCATGGTGGTGGGTGCCCTGTAGTCCCAGCTACTCAGGAGGCTGAGGCAGGAGAATAGCTTGAACCCAAGAGACAGAGGTTGCAGTGAGCCAAGATGGCGCCATTACACTCCAGCCTGGCAACAGAGCAAAACTCCGTCTCAAAAAAAAAAAAAAAAAGTTTTACAATTTTGGTTAGGTAAATTCCAGCTACAAATGGGCATTAAAAGCCATTTTCACATGATTTTGTTAATATATAATACAACTCGCCAGGCAAACAGCTTTCTAGGAAAGTCTAGGTCCCTGAAAAAAGACTTGCTTCATCAAACACAAAACCAAACCCCACATTAGTGTCTTCAAGCATCAGATGCCAAAAACCCATCGATCCAAGCATACAAGAAAAATGTCACTGGTGAAATTAGCAATGTGCTTCAGCAAAAAGAAAAGCTCAAGGATGAGAAATTATCTACCCCCAGCGTGTGTCTCATGACCCCAGCTATGGCCATTACCACACGGTCTCATATCTAAGGCATCGTTCAGAACGTCTGCTACCCTATACATTTAAAATGACTCATAGGGACAGGTCCAGTCCTACCTTCCACTCTGACAATGGGACAGGCTTCCACAGTTCTCCAGATAAACACGTACTCACAGCCATCCTGAAGCTGAAACGTTGGTGAGCCCTGTAATATAAATCAACAGCCTGATTTGTTCCCTGTTTATTTTAAAAATTAATCAAATGGGGCTGGGCATGGGGGCTTACGCCTGTAATCTTAGCACTTTGGGAGGCCAAGGTGGGCGGATCACAAGTTCAGGAGTTCAAGACCAGCCTGGCCAAGATGGTGAAACCCCGTCTCTACTAAAAATACAAAAATTAGCTGGGCGCAGTGGCAGGTGCCTGTAATCCCAGCTACTCGGGAGGCTGAGGCAGGAGAATCACTTGAACCTGGGGGGCGGAGCTTGCAGTGAGTCAAGATTGCACCACTGCACTCCAGCCCGGGTGACAGCGTGAGACTCCATCTCAAAAAAAAAAATTAAATACATGATAGCCACAGTTAGTACCCAATCTTTAACCTCCATGTGCAAACTACATAGCATTTATTAAACATTTAAGACCTGAAGAAATGAGTGCATTCTCGTCAAACCCCAGCAATGGCCGAAACTCCATGAAAATGCAGGCAAGTTTTAAACAAGCTGGAAGATTCAGAGGTTCAAGGGAAATGGGAAATGGAGTGACCGAGGGACAACATGCCATCGCTGGTCTGAACACACACCGATATCTGAGCACACTCAAACGTGATCCTGGTGGAGAAGCGCTGGTTCCCACACTTGTCACCGTTGACATACATGATGCTCAAAGATCCATTCGCCGCAGCTTGGGGACTCATCTGCACCACACCCAGGTTCCAGTTATTGACTTCTGACACTAAGCAAGACCCCATTGCGCTGCCTGGAAGAACAGAATTAGCGGTTTAGGCATGAGGAAGGCAATGACCTTGAGTCAAATGCTCTAACAATATGAACAGACGCCAATCAAGAGACCAAGTGGAACTCACCATGGCATCCAGGAATGTCAGGGAGGGGACTGCAGACGCTCAAATAGAAAGTCCTCTTCCTCCCATCGACAGAGGTGTCGACAGCCGTCCAAGGCTTCCTGACCATGCTTAAGCCACTCAGGTCATACTCATTTCCAGCCGGGTCTGAAACAACAAAAAACCACGCTGGAGAACTCTGCCTCCTTGTGAGCTCTCAAGAACAGCCTTTCACCCTAAATAAGCACTGAGGCGGCGTGAAGCTGGCATTCCTAACTATGAGAATAAGGAAATCCACAGGAGGCTGAGAGGCTTTGCCTACAAAACACGCCCGCTCTGTCCCTCAAAACTGCCCTTCACAGCCGGGTCTGGTGGCATGCACCTGTAGTCCCAGCTACTTCGGAGGCTGAGGCAGGAGGATCACTTAGGACCAGGAGTTCAAGGCCAGCCTGGGCAACACAGTGAGACCCTAAAGACTCTTTAAAGAAAAAACCAAACCCCCACTTCCATTGACAAGGAAGCACCACTGCTGCAGAGGGGGCAGGGCCAACCCCAGAGATCACGGTCTGCTGCATACACTGTTAGCTTCCAGGGCACAGCTTAGGGAGTTTTAACATTTTTTTCTTTTCTTTTCATCCCCAAATAAGCAGCTCTGACAGTGGATGTGAAATGTGTTTCCTCTGTGTTTTCTTCTGTGTTCTGAAGATGCATCTGATCCCAAAAGATAGCTTAAAACTTAACTATACAGTCAGATTCTCTTCAAGAAAAACATTACAACTCTAGGCATCATTCAAAGAAAATATGTAACAGAAATGGCACGCTGCCTGCAACACCAAGCATACACACCACACACACACAAATATACACACACAGAAACACACCTTCACATCCACTCACACACACACACATATACACACACAGAAACACACCTTCACATCCACTCACACACACACA